CGAGGAACGGTATGAGAGAGATGAGATCTGGCCGGAGAGGAGGAGAGAGACGAGAGCGAGAGAAGAGAGCAGAAAGTAGAGATGATGAAGAGGAGGAAAGCATGAGCAGCAGAGAGAGAGAGAAGATGAGAGAGACGGAGAGAGGACGCTACCATGACTTACTAATGCACTCAATTACGTCAGTAACTCGATCATTTAATGCGGCTTCGATCATTGATCGTGAACCAGCAACAGACATACCCACCACCCCCCTCAGTGGTTTACCCGCCGAACAGCAGCACGAGGAGCAGCCGAAAGTCGTGATCGCCGGCTAGCTGTTGTCAATCTGCGTTGTTAATTTCCGTAATCGATCACTCGCGTTGACCAACAAGTAACCGTGATCGGTTACTAAGTCGGGTTACTCGGGTCGCGTGTTGACGTGTTGAATGCCTCGCCTGTGTTGCGTAACGCCTGTGCGCATTGTACGTACTGTGTGCATGTATTGTGCTTGTTTAGCCCTTGTTTACTGTTCTGTTTTTTGCAACTGTTTTACTACTGTGTGTATAATTAACATGTTAATGTTAATTAAAGCGCATAACTTGGTATCATATTAGCGATGATATTGTCTAATTCTATTCATCACTTTTCCAAGTTTTAACATTTATTTTCGATTTTTTTTTTATTATTTTTTTTCTTCGATGAAATCGATTATGCGATTTTTGCGATAACCAATCGCTTGGTGTTCGTAGCACATCTGTTCAACTATGCATCGAGTATAATCGAATGATCACGTGGACAATCACTAATCAGTCCGCCCCACGCAATTTGCCGGCCAAATTATTTCGCCAGAACGTAATTAACCTAATTAGCGCTGCTCTAGCGAGGCCTGAGTCAACCGACGACGACGTCGACAAACAAAGACGCCGTAATTGGATTTACCTGCGAAAACTCATTTTAATTTGGATTTGCCGCCGTCGCCGCCGCGGCCACTAGACCCCGAACCCCGCTTCGGCCTTCCACCGCTGCCCCTGCGCGCGACGGATCGGGAGGACGAAGGAGAAGGAGGGAGGAGGAAGGAGGGAGAGGGAGGAAGGAGGAGGAAGGAAGAAGAGGGGGAGGAGGGTGGAAGGAGCGTAGAAGGAGCGAGGTCCGTTCATTTGTCGGCGATCTCTCTCACGTTTCTCCGTCAAACAAAACATGAAATCATCAACCCATCCCTGCCTCGCGTGCACCCGCCCCCTCTGGCATGTCTGCGCTGTTCACATTAGACACTTTTGCCGTCCCGTAGATTGGGCCAGCCAGCTGTGGCATCGGGTTTGCCACCGTGCTGTAGTCTTTAGCCCAGTCAATCTCCTTGCTAATCTTACGTCTTACTAGCCTGAATTCCTGCTTGAACGCGAAGAATAAGCTAATCTTACGTCTTACTAGCCTGAATTCCTGCTAATCACAGAGTCGTTGCGTCTCTGATGTACAACGTTGAATATGATAATCGTATAACTACGCAGCTCTGTGACGAATAAAGTTGTCCTCTGCACAGGAATACGTCTAAAACACGTTTGTCATTCGGGCTAGCTACATGATTCTATCTTGGGTGATGATTTCCGCTCACCGTTGGAGACCCCACTCCTCTGCGGATGGCTGTTCACCCAGTTCGGCACACCGTGGGTGGCCCAGCGCGTGTGTGCGATGCCGGCGTGGATGTTGAAGACTCGATCAAAGTCGAGGGTCTCCGTTCCTGAACGACGGAACAACGCGATAACGATTTAACTGCGATATGACCAGGAGTGTATCAATATTGATACACTCCTGATATGACGCACGATCGCGATAACAATTAACCACACCACGATCGCGCGAGAAAGTGATATCAAGGTATCTCGACCAGAGTTTAAAATCCATAATGGCGCTAATGGATTATAGCTAGATTACAATTGCGATAAAGCTGAGGAATTAGGGGTAGTGCGAGGGTGAGGGTCAAGGGTTAAGGTTAGAAATTTGGGATATAATTCCGGCATTCTGATCCATTTTATTTATCCCTGTTACACAGTTCATAATTAACCTGACACGATCTCTTCCATCTCCTAACGATTCGACGCGGCGCCTATTTTCGTGGGGAAGCAACAAAAAAAACAAGTGAACAACAATAAAACAATCACGTGGCGCATTCGCACGCGACATTCCGATCTCCGATGCGAATCCGTCGACGAAAACAGAAGCGGGAACGGCGAACGGGAAAGTCTGCGACATTTATGGGGTGCGACGGTGTCGCAGTCGAGATCACGTTCTCGCGTGCGGGAGAGACACTTACTGTGGATTTCTTCGTCCAGCGCGCGCACTTTGCCCTGCTTCTTGATGAGGCAGATGCTGCAGTCCTCCTCCGAGTTGCTGCCCTGGATACCGATGCCTGCACGACGGATCGGACGCCGGCGACGAGAGAAGAGAGAGAGAGAGAGAGAGAGAGAGAAGAAGGAAGGATACGACATTACGAATGAGTCTGACACATGACACATGATATGAGCCACAGTATGCTCTGATTTCGTCAATCAATCAAACGCCTTTAAATTTCTCGTCAAAATGCAGACCACAGGTCCTATGGTAAACAAGTCTAAAAATGCAGGTTTGCCCATCGAATTGATGTGAGAAGGGGAGATCCCTGGAGCTTGAATCAGATCACGAAATGTGTGTTACGCAAAAATTAGCTCGATGTAGTATTTGAGTTTCAGCTGGTTGTGAAGGGTCTATCCGACTATCGAAATGCTAGCTCTAGAACTATACTAATTACTATAGACCTTCGCTCCGCCACAGGAAGCCGCCGCCTCCTGTGGCGGAGCGAAGGGCTAGCCTAGTTCTAGAGCTATCGAAATGCCAACAAACACTCACCCGCGGAATCATAACCTCGGTACTCTTGCCTTTGTAGACCCATGATCAGAAAGGCGAGGATCTCTTTGCGCGTTCTCGGAACCAAGTGGTTCAGATATGCAAAAATTCCTGAATAAAATTAAATATACAATTTACAAACGATGACTGAATTCGAGGCATGATGATAAAACTAAAGCCTAAAGACGTAAGCCGTAAAGGCATGTGACGTGTAATACGGTATACAGCGTACAGGTGAGGTAGTAGGTACGATAATAACTAAGTCTAAGGTATATCATGTGTGACAGATCTTTACTTACCACACATGGTTAGCAGGTAGATCGGGAAACAACGTTTGCAGTCGTTTCAGTGTGATCAAGCTAACTAATGTTCAATTATCAACTAATCAATTCTGAACGATCAACAATTCAATGATCAACTAATGATCAAGCAAGTGGCGTTGCTGTCAACGTGTCTGTCACTCAGGTAAGCTTCTGGGTCACGTGTAAAGAGAGCCGCAAGGGCGAGGAGCGCAGTAAACTCCGAAATTACTTTTTGCGAAAAACCAGTCAGAAGTAGGCGGAATAGGAAATGATCTCAGACCAATCCTTGTACCAGATATTACACAATGCAGAAAGCCTGGTCTGTGTCTCTGGCACGACCGCAAGAGTGGTTTTAAATGCAGCCAACAGTTCGACGGGAAATGAAACTATTCACTTGTCCCTTACTACCCTCGAGCGGAAATGCAGTCTGGGTCAAGGTCTGGGTCACTCGGATGGCCAATGACGTTTTAGAATAGTTTAACCAATCACGACGCTTGTTAAAACACCGGTCGACGGTCGTCTGTTTCGATATCGTCGACGGCGGGGAACTATGGCAGGTGTGTCGGCTAGCAGATTCTCTTCGAAAGTTGTGCTTTTTCGCAGTTTGTGTCAGTTCAGGGAACTAACGTCACAGCAGAAGGTAAGACTAAGAATAGATCGCTTCCCATGCGTGAATCGTGGCTGTCCGTTCACGTTAACGTTTGACAGCTGGCTTGCTGATGGTGAGCCCCAACGCAAGTCCTGCACAAAATCATAACACAGTGGCAAATCATGTCAACAACATAACACAGGAAATCATATATTGATTCGTAATCATAGTTCATACATTTACTAGCGGCATATATTTTACACGCCCCCGCGTGGACACAGGTACCACGCATACTACTACTCTCGTAGTTAGTTCTAGACAAGTATTTCGAAGCAGCAATTTAGTTGAACCGGTAGCGGTACCGATAGTTTGAACCGGTACCAAACGATAATGGTGTTTTAGTTGCGATTGCCACGTGACGAATTTGAAGAAATTCGTGGAAACCTAACCGATCGGATCACTGTACTGTAGTCTGTAGACTCACAGGCACTTGGAACGTCTCAGCAATAAAAAAAATAAAAAAAGGTAAATAAACACGAAATGTATTTACTACCAAAGTTTTAATGTTTCTCTACTCTATTTCGCCTATAATCACCTGTAAATGCCGGTCAAATGCTCATCTGCAACACACAAGTACACCGCACGCTAGCTGCTGCACACTGACACATAAATATATAGCAGGTAGGAAAGCGTGCTGCCAAAATTCGCTCGACGCTCGCTTGATTTCACACGAATACAACACAAACATTCAACCATTCTACTCCATCTTTGTTTCTATTTGAAGGGCAGTGTTCACTTGTTATAAAAACATACTGTCTGTGTTCGTAACAGAGCTGTGTCACGCAAAATCACACAAAGCCTGACGAAATTCTCGCATTCGCTCCCGTTGCGCAGTTTATGTAAATGGCTGCAAGTACAGGGCTACCGGTATAGGCGGCGCACTGCATTTTGGGAAACGACCACGCTGCTTTCCAACTCCTATACGAGCCTCGTCAAAGCCGCCAGTGGAGCGTTGCAATAATGCGGCGCAAAAATGAGGTCACGAAGAGCGCCGGTGGGTGTTTCTTGATTCCGACAGCCATTTACATAAACTGCGCAACGGGAGCGAACGCGAGAATTTTGTCAGGCTGTGTGTGATTTCGCGTGACACAGGTCGGTTACGAACACAGACAGTATGTTTTTATAACAAGTGAACACTTGGCAGCACGCGTTCCTACCTGCTATATATTTATGTGTCAGTGTGCAGCAGCTAGCGTGCGGTGTACTTGTGTGTTGCAGATGAGCATTTGACCGGCATTTACAGGTGATTATAATATAGGCGAAATAGAGTAGAGAAACATTAAGACTTTGGTAGTAAATACATTTCGTGTTTATTTGCCTTTTTTTTGTGGGAGACGTTCCAAGTGCCTGTGTGTAGACTGTGGTGTTACATGTTCTGTGCAAGGGTTGCTAGTGCTATTGCTAAGACACAAACTAAACAGCTAAGCATAACTCCACAGATGTAACATAGCATATATGTTTGCTATAGAAATGTTGTTTACAATCACAGCTTTAGTTATGACTTGGGTAGACTCCGGCATGTATACACGATGTAACTAGACAGAGGGCACTCACGGAGAGTGCATACCTCCGCGAGCATGTAACATGTATGTGCTCGCTGGTGGCGGCTGCTGACTGACTCGCCTGCTGCTGACTCGCCGCTCACTGGTGGCTGCTGCTGACTCACCACTCGCTGACTCGACGCGCTATCGATCACGCCAAGGCTACACACACACACACGAACACACACACGAACACACACACACACACACACACGAGACCGATTACATGACCTCCTTTGCAACTCCGTTGCGCGGAGGTAATAACAGGTAGCATTATGTCATATTATATGAAAAAAACTGCTCCTGACTTCAGTAGTGCTCTGTGTTGCCCAACTCCTAATGTAGGTCCGCATGCTGTGTGTGTATTTTTGGCATGTCGCGAGTTTGTCAAATCTGCAATCGAAAACATGCACAGCTGAAGCGATTCCACTTGATCGGCCATTGCGATACTTCAGTGCCAGTGGCAACCGACAAAGGATTTGCATTGATTAATTTTTGAATCGGGAACACGGGTGGTCAATGTTTGCGCTGCGACATTTCTTGTGTTCCCTGCTTTCCGCTACGAACCTGGATCGATGCTATGGCCGTTAGTCGAGGGGGAGGAAACATCAAAATGCATTTGCGAGCAAGTTAGGAACCTACGAGGACGACTTCAGCGCTCTAATGGGTTGTTAAAGTGTTGGAAATAATGAGTCGGCTTCAAGCCTGCCCCTGCGTCGAGCGTCATTACTGCCATAGTTATGTTAGCATATATATTCGTTAGAGGCATGCGCGCGCTGATGGCTAATTCACGGTTTTGAGTTTTCGGGGCATGTCACGACAACTGCGTCGCGAACGAAATTTCAGCGAAAACCTGCTGCTGTGCCATCGTCCATTTTCGCCTCTTGCTATCTCCTATAAATATCTGCAAGCATTTTGTGTGGAGAGGGCAGGTGAATTGAGGCGACATAAACTCGAGGAGAGAAAGCTGCAAAGGGGGCTATATCGGAAGATGAGATATCGGAAAATGAGATATGGATACGATGAGATATCGGAAAATGTACGCAGATGGTTTAGGTGCACATGCATACAAGGTTCGCGATTTTATCCACCACCACTACAGCGCAGCAATATGTCTGTCCCTCGTCAAAATATTGAGGAAATGAGGATTGAACGTATTGACTTCTTTATACGTACCGAGCTCGATGTGGTTGTGAATGGTCACAGCGTATAGAATAACACCCGGCCTTACGTAAACGCGTGATTTCCTTTTACTGCAATAACATTCTATAGTTGTTTGAAATGCGTATAACATGCATGTCTCAGTGTGATCCCCCCTCCCTTCCTCCCTTCCCCCCAGCTCACAAACTGGATGAATCTGAATTGTAGTTTTTCCTGATTCTCTTGACTGTCACGTCAGTACCTTCTCTACCTTTCTCCCCTCTCCCTCCTCCATTCCCCTCTCCAGCTCACAACCTGAATGAATCTAAATTGAAGTTTTCCCTGATTCTCTTGACTGTCACGTCGGAATCCTCCCCTTTCCCCCCTCCCTTCCCCCTCCCTTCCCTGCAATCTCACAACCCGAAAGAAATCTATAAATTGTAGTTTTTCTCTGATTCTCGAGAGCACCTTCTTTTCGCTGCAACACGTTGGAATCGTCGCGGGTGCACGATGGATCGCACTCGACCTCGCGCGATAGATGTTAAAACGCCGTTACGATGAGCGAGTCCAATCTCCACGCACCTCATTTCTCCCCTCTGTCTGCACGCGCCGCGCGTTTCCCTCGGATCCTAACGACGCGTGCTTTGGCATTGATGAGAGGAGGAGCGACGTGCGCGAGAAAAGTCGTTTGCACGTTCTCGAAACGAATTAAATATTCTCGCGTAAGTGAGTTCGCTGGGGCGTACGTTGGGTGGACCCTTCCCCCCGTGTTTGAGCTTTACTTGTGCTTGGGCTTCTCTCCGTCTGTGCATCTCAATTATATTGACTCCACGGGTCAAACACGAATTTTTTAGGATGGAGGGGGGGCAAATGTTGGCCTCTGTTTAATTGGGAATTTTTGGGGGGCACCGCGGCGAGTTGGGAGGGCACACCGGGTGCAGAGGTTTCCTACAAAGGAACCATTATCGAGGCCACTCGCATATTCGACAACAGTGTTTATCTCGAGCAAATAGAGTTATGAAAATATAACAAAGAAGGAGTATAGGTACAGAACACGGAGTATACGGGAAAAAGCGGAAAGCCGCACTGCTTAGGGCAACAGCACCTGTCTACTGCCTCTATTGCCATGGACATCAGTCAATCTTCAAAGCATGATACATAAGGGAGGCAGCCATGGCACCTGCCTTCGACGGTATTATCGTCGGTATATCTAGAGCCCTGGGCACGGTGGGAGAGATCTGGATGCAGTGGGTCGTGAAGTAGCATGAGTAACTCACACGGTGCAGCGAACATCGAGGTTCTGCATAATTTCGCCGTAATTGTGCTGACGGGCGGACGGCTGCTGTTCCCGGGGCCGGATTAAGGTCACGTTCAGCAGGATTAGTATCGGGAGTAGATAATAGGGAATCCCTATTATCTACTCCC